GGCCGCTCTCCCGGCGCTGCCCCCTCCGCTCCGCTCCGCGCTCGCCGCGCGGCCTCTCTGCAGCCTGCGAGCAGCAGCAGCAGCCGCTTGCTGCCTTTTTTTTTTTTTTTTTTTCCTCTCCTCAACTTTTTTTTTCCCTTGCTTTCCCACGCTGGCTGAATGTGACTTGACCCCGTTTCAAAAAAGTTTGACATAGTGCTTCAACATTTCCGCATTCCTCCGCGACTACAAAGGCTGCAGCCGCCTCCTTCTGCTTTCTGTCTCTGCTCTCTGTCTTCACACTCAATGAAATCCTTCAAGTGCCTCTGCCAAAGGCGGCCGCAGAGCGCAAGGGTCGCGGCGGCCCGAGGCGCCCCGGGGCGGGAAAAAAAACTGCGCCCGAGCGAGGGGGAAATAGACTTTGCTATTCATGCAAGGCGCGGGGAAATGGCTTTTCCCCCCTCCCCCTTTTTTTTCTCCCCTTGGGAAATAAATTCCACCCCCCAACCCCCCGATAAACGCCACTTCTTGAGGCTTTTGCTGCTTTTCATTCAGAGAGAGCGCAGGGCTCTGGCAGGAAGTGAGCACCCATGAATGCTTTCGGGAAGCGGCAAGAAAGTTCTTTGCTGAAGACAAAAACAGAAAAAAAAAAAGAAAGAAAAAAAAAGAAAAAAAAAAGTGCAAAGTTTTTGCCCCAAAGGGCTTGTGGTGAGGAGGCCTGGGGGTGCAGGACCCCGACGCACTCAATGTCTTGTATGCGGTCACTTCCGACAAACAGTGAAGTTACCCACGGAAAAAAAAAAAAACAAAAAAATCCCCCGTCAGATGCCCACAGATCTCCCCGTGCACCTGGAGTGCCCAGTTCCCCTTCTGTGTGGCTGCCACCTCCCAGCAAACGCTTTCCTGGCCCCCACAGGAGGCAAAGGCAGGGACAGCAGAGCCACCACAGCAACCGGTCTGGTCCTGGTCAAATTAGGAGGGAGTTTCCCCCTCTTACAGCGGGAAATGTGACTGAATTCAGTGGCTTTAGGGACCTGCCAAAAGCTTTGCCTTGGATGCTGTAAGATGCTCAGATTAACACAGACAGTGGATTGAATACTGCGCAAACTACACGAATTCAGGTCAGGAAGAAGCATATGTTATATATATAATATAAGCACATATATAATATAAAAAAATTTACTCTGTCTGAATTCACAGCTCTCCCTAGCTGACTTGAAATCCCATAAAATTTGCTGCCCTGGCTTCAAACGGGACAGCAGCAATTCCACGTGTGCTACCTGTTTTTGGGGGTGCGGAAGCAGCACTGGGGGTCAGGGAGCTGGCTGGGAGCAGAGCAGAGCCCTCTGATTTCCCTGGAGAAAAAGGGAGCTGACACTAATGACCCCTTTGAGGAAAAGGCCAGTGTCATGTGAATGTTTGCAACAAAACATGCATGTATTGCAAGAGTTTAATTTTGAAAAAAAGAAAAAAAAAGGTTTTGCAATATACTTTATTTCCAATATATTTTATTTCCAGTTGCAGAAATTCCTCATCAGCTTGCTGAAGTACAGGATTTAAAAGAAATATAAATACTCCCAAACTGCTAAACCTTTAAACAAGAAACTAGCAAAGATTGAAATACACAGATCAAATCTTCTTCAGAAAGATGTGAAAAATCACATTGCATTATGAGCTTCACATGTGCATACGTTACTTTGTTCTTTGATTTGTAATATTTATGGCTTTCTCAAATGCATGATGTTTGCCTTTTTATTTTATTTTCATATTTTTATTCTTCCTAATCTTTATGGAACTGTAACAAGCTCGGTGCTGCAAATCATCCTCAGGTTCACTTCTGAGGAAGGATAAGCAACAACTTTTGTTGCTACCTCCCCCTGAGGATCTCTGATACCTTTTATTTCCAGGTGGACAAGTGACTGAGGTGGGGGCTGAGTTTTTTGGACAAGCAAATGTACAAGTTAATGTTCAGGATGGACTTGGAAGAGAGAATTCTGCAGTCCCCTGATTTTTTGCCTTGCATTCACATTTTATATTCTGTTAATAAACACAGTGCCTCATAAGCTAATATTTTATCCTATGCTCTCCCAAAATCTTTTCTGGGAGATATATGTTATGGTCCTGTCAGCTAGAAGTGTTGTCTGCATTTCTGTGAAGTCAGAAGAAGCCGTGGAAGATTTTAAGGCTCCTTCTATCAAGCTGAGTAAGTGTAAAACACCGAAGTGCCATGGAGTCAACATGACTTTAAATGATACTAATTTTTTTTCAGGGAGTTTTTCATAGACCGATGAGAAAATTTCTTTCCTTTTCTCCATCAGTAAGACCAGACAATTTAACTACTTGGTGTCACAAAGCAGCCATACAAACCTCTAAAAAGACCTGAACCAGTTTTCTTTTTCTGAAAGTTATGTGATGTCGGGAAGACATTTAAAAACATCATTTCATATAAACATTCAAATAAAATAGATTGTACTACCAGGAATTCGTTTTACAGGATGAAATTACTTACCTGAACTGGATGGATACTTTGAAAATTTTAAATCTATTACCTCTGTTTTTAAGTTGAGAGTTAAGAAGATGCTGCAAATAATAAACTCTTTAAAAATGGTGTACATCATAAAAGCAGTCTCTTTTAAATCAAGATTTTTTTCTCTTTATAACAATCTTTTACAAATGTTTAATGTTTCGTTTTCATAAAAGCAATATTCTACATTTAACAGTTCTGATTCAGAGCAGCTGAGCATGTATTTTATTTTCTATCAACAACAGAGGTTTTTCTGCACAGAATTTAGTATATTCTGTATTTACATTATTGCTGAAAATACCTTCATTAAAATTAATGAAGTTAAATTTAGAAATTTAC